GGGGGGGGGGGTGTCACAAAATCTGCCGTGTTGGGGGAGAGCTTTGTGTGCAAGCGAAGCAGGGCATCCGCCACAGCCCTGTGCCCACCATCTTGCAGATTTTGGCCCAGACATCCCAGACTCAGCTACGCATCTCAAAAGCGTCACTCGAAATACCAGCCCTTCAAAGGCTAAACCAGCATCAAGAATTCGATGAGATTTTACTTCTCTCTTCCACGTTGCACAAATATTACAATTTAAGAAGGTTCTGATTCAAACTCTGTAGTGGAACTTCTACGATGTTATAGAAATTGCCAAGTAAACCCAGACTGCTAATCCATTCCTGCTTATTTTACAGTAAAGGAAGGACAGTTTGCTTTTCAACATAAGCTGAAACAAGTCTAGCTGCTAAAGACTTCGGTTCTTTTGGGGGGCGGGGAGGCTAGGGCTGGGAAAAGCAATGTACTTCCTCTATGAATTAAGCAAGTAATTGTCAACATTACTTCAAGGTAAGATGAATAAAGATAATAAAGGCTGGATTTACTATTTTGGGTAGCATTGCAAGGTAGTTTGCCAGTGACTAGTCTTAGCAAGATTAACTACCATTTTCTTTTTGTGTCTTTCCAACCCAACAGAATGCAGAAAAGAAATTATGTAGAAAGACTCAGGACTTCGTTTGTGAGCCATATAGCTCTCTGGAAATTGAGCAGAATGGGACCAATTTGATGTAGATGGAGAAGTCCACAAAAGAAAGGCTGAGTCTGAAAATGGGCTAGATCAGGCCAGGGCCGCAGAGAGAAAAAAAATCTAGAAAAATTCCCCAGTGCGTCCCTGTGGGAGTCTTGGGCAGTGGCTCGAATATTGCTGACTGTTTCCTTCTAAGGTTCCCTCTTCTTTCCTGGTCACATGACCCTGAGTGGAAATATTATTAAGAGGTTGAAAAGAACACCAGAAGCCATGCTCTGCAGGTTTCCCCTATTTTTTTAAATTTCTGACTGTATTTTATGTGACAGCGAAGACAGGTATCAAAAAGTACAAATATGAAAAACTGTAAACAGTCTTGGGTTCTGAGTTAATGCTGTTCTGAAGCTCCTTCAAGAGCTGAATTGTTAATGTTTAATTCTTAAAATTAAAAAAAACAAAATAGACATCTGTTTACTTTGTATCGCTTCATACAGTCTTTCTTAGATCGGCCTGGAACAGAAGCTGCGATTTTCTCCCACCTCTCAGGAGTATTCACTGGATATGTTTTTAGAGCTTGTTCTAAAAGTTTCTGCTCTTCTGTCGTCCATGGAGATGCATCTGTAAATGATACTGCTGAAAACAAATGAGAATGTACTGACAGCAAGAATTTCCTTGAAAAGATCTTCCTTCAAAATTCCCGTACCCCAAAGGGGTAGCCTTCCTCCACATCTAAGTGTGTTTCTTCTTTTCAGTAACAGTATTTTTAAAACAAACGAGTCATCTTCCAAAGATAGTTCCATCTTTATTTCCTAATCTAGCCTTCGTGAGTTTGAAGGAATCCCAATACTTCAGGCTATGCCGCAACAGAAACACTGGGGAAATGCTAAATATATCTCCTTAACACTGGACTCCATTGACATCAGGGCGGCCTGGCCTCTAGAGAACTGCCTGCCAGTGCATATCGGCACACCTAGAAATGTGGCCTTCAAAGAAATAGGACACCCAAGTAGAATATCCCAACAGACACCAAGAAGTTGTTCTCCATTTACCTTCAAAACGTTCTGATGGTGCAGCACTATCTGCTTGTGGTATTACTCCGTGCTCTTTCTTAAATTTATCAAAAGCTTTCTTATTGATGTCATCCTTTTGATGAGGATCTAACAACAAGGAGATATTAAGACAAAATCAGCTACTTAATGAAGTTGCAGCTAATAAAATCTGTTGATTCTTAACTTTTTGACTGATTTAGTCTGCCTCAAATGATTCAAGTCCGGTAATACACACTTGTTTTTTACTTGTAGATTGAATTATAGAAGGATTTTGCCCTTTAATAATGGCCCGATAAGTCTTCTCTCATGCAGATTCTTTTCAGGCTGTATAACTACGTTCACACATCTATCTAGTTTGCATGGCATAGTCAACCTGCAACATTTCTTGCAACTTGGGAATGGAAGCTGAGTGTATTTAAGTCAGGGTCCCTTGTTTTTTCCTACTCAAAGGCAAAAGGCTTGAACACATAGTTTAGACATCCACCAGTTCTCAAAAGAGGAGTCATTTCTGTTCATTTTGCTATGCTATCAACAACAACTGTTTAATTTGAGCTCAAGACTTTTTATTCTTCCCAAAGGCCATCAGATTACATTATTTTGATAAATCTATATCAATGGAGAAAGTACCTGAAATGATTTGGCCTCCATCGTGAGTAGCAGAAACACTATTTACTATATTTTCTCAGTGATAGCAGCTAAAATGTACTATACACATAGAGTACCAGATACCATGTTACAGTAAACCTCTATAACCCAGAGATTTTGTCTGGCACATTCAAATTCCATTAAACCAGAGATTTCACAGCCACTGGATGCACCAAAGTCTCTGCTTCTGGGCACGCATAAAATCTCATTTGGATTTAATGGAAATTCTGCTTTAACAACAACACCCCTTCATCCCACTTACTACATAAAATTAAGGAGTTACTGAATGAGAACAAGATACAACTTTCATGCAAGCATTCACATAAAATGTTCCTGTAATAGCAACCAGCATCCCAGCAGAGATCAAGTAAGAGAGAGGCAGTGGCTCTGAAGTTCCTTCACTCTGCTTCAGACTGAAGGAAGATGGGAATCTCCAGTGACAGCCAGATATAATTTTATGCTTGCAGAACAGACATTGAATTTATCAGTAAATAAAATGAAGGCATGCAGACCATCTTACAAAGATAACGATACCAAGTTTCTGGAGGCTCTTTGCTTTGTTGATAACATCTTTTGCTGTTCGTTTTATTCCCATTGTAGAGTGCAAATTCATGTAATTGGCAATAACTTCCCATCTATGAAAAAACAAAACACCCACAAGCTTTACAGAATTTTTGAAAGAAATTGCCAAAGGTCGCAATTAATTGCTGAGCTTTAATAAAAAGCAAAACATCTTTATAAAAATTTATATTTTTGCCCAAGAGTAAAGATCTTGCTGGATGTGTTAAAAAGGGCTTTGGGTCACATAAATGCTATCTTTTCCAAAATAAGAATTAACTCCCACGTGTATATTTTACATGGCTAGTGCAGTTTATCTGGAGGTTTTAGAGGGAAAAGATAGCTCTCTGTCCATTCTAGTCTAGCTAAAATTATGCTTTTGGGAAATGCTAAGACAGTAAAGTGGCTCTTGAACTAGGGAAGAGCTTGTCTGAGTCAATTATTCAGGCTAGTTTCTTGGTCCAGGCTCAAGCCTCACATCTGGCTGTGGTTTGGTAGCAGCTCTTCCTCCTGTCCTTCAAGGGCATTCCTTATTTCCTCCACATCCTTTCACTGCAGACAATGAGGTCTGATCTGTATTTACCAACTGTGATAGTGAGATCCTGGGTAACAAGGGCCACATCTTTCAGCTAGAAAAACCGACTACCCCGAGCATAAATCTGTTCTTCCAAGTATGAGACACCCTTTAAAAATGGAAATATTCAAACCATGTAAGCAAGTACCTCCTACCTGTTCTTCCTTTCAACGCTTTAGTGCAATGCTATTGCCGATAGATGGAATAATAATAAATATATGCTTACCTTGAATTTGTCCCAGCAGGAAAGAGATTTACTGCTTTAATTAGTAACTGTAGGTCATCTTCTGACCAGTTCTTGCTTCCACCAACACCTCCACTTGTTGACTTCTCAGAACTCTTTGTGGCTTGTCGCAATCGAGCTTCTGCTTCTTCTTTTTCTCTTCTTATCTGTTCATTTACTTGTTCTATCTACATGAATATAAACAAATATACCTCTCAACTGAATTACCAAAAACACAAAATACTTCCTCCAAGAATCACAGAGCTATTATGAGCCCTAAATTAATTTTGTTCCTATCATCGCTGTGGAAAAAGAAGCCAACACAGAAAACTGATAGAAAGTCAGAGAACTGTAAAATAATGATGAAAAGAAGTCTTAGAAATTTAATATAATGACTTTATCAAACATGAGGTAAAATTTTCCCAAATCAACACAAAATTAGAAATTTTAGATGATTCTATACTGGTAATTACTTGGTTTAGTATAGAGATATCCAAGGGCTTAATCTCTTATTTGCTCAGTACTATATAGTTTTTTGTAATCCGTTCCCCCTTGGGAACTACTTCCCCATTTCTGTAAAGGCCAGCATAAAAATAAGAACATTGTGCTGTGATTTATGCTCTGAATTGTGAGAATGTCTAGTAGTACCATGCTGAATGAAATCCACTAGCTGATATGGGGTACAATGGAAGACAGCCATTCACTTTAGTAGGACTTTAGTCCACCAAATCAGA